ACCCAAAGGGGTATTATTACTTTCAACCTGATTGCTGCGCAAGGAGAGCGCGAGCGAGGCCGCTGCGCTGCACGTGCTTCTAGAACAAACCACGAAGCAGTACGATCAGGAATTGACGGTGCTGCGCGAGCGGAAATACGCCGTGGAGCAGCAAGTGACGGTGTCGGAGCGGTTCTTGGACAGCTCGAACCGAGCGCATCGCGAGGAGCTCAGCAAATTGACCGTGTCGCTGCAGGAGGCGCAGAAGGAGTGCGACGCGCTGCGGATTCAGATCATGGAGAAGGAAAGCGAGCTGCGCACGGCGGTGGACAATTACGAATCGCTCCGCGTGCAGGCAACGGAGCAAATGAAGGAAGTCACGCACCAGATGATGGAGATGAAGGCGCGAATGAAGGAGGAGAAGGAGAAGTTCGATCGGGAAAAGGAATCGCTGCAGCTCTCGGAGCACAACATGCACTCGGTTATCGCAGAGAAAGTGTCGGCCGCGGAGCAGAAGCAGAAGGAAAGCGCGCGCGAGCAGCAGCGGCAGTTCGAGGAGGAGGTGGGAGAGAAGGAGAGCGGATGATGGGTAGCTCGTTCATGTCCGAAAGCAAGTGCAGGTGCTGTCGCACCAGCTTGAAGAAGAGAGGAAAAGCAATCGGAAGGCGCGAGATCAGATGCGAAGTCTGACCGATACCATTTCAAACCAGGATCAGGTTATCGATAAACTCCGCTCGGAAGTGGCGCAGCGTGACAGCGAATTGCTTGCAGGAAAACAGCAGATTAATAAACTGTTTGAGATTATTGCAGATCGGGGAGATAAATAGTTGTATTGAATGATACCATTTCGTTGTGTTTGTTTGGCAAGGTTTTATTATTTTTAATTCTTTGGTAATATTATTTTTTGGTTATAGATTGGTAATATGAAACAAGAGGATTATTATGTTTAAATTCTTCTGCACAGAATGATATGGGATTATCACGTGATATGTGCTTCCTATTTGGTAGAGATCGAAGCCTCGTGAATCCAATTAGAAATCATTTTCATGAAGGGCGTTCAGCAAGGTATCAAGAAATTCACAATAGCAAAGCCACCCGTAGCAATCACACATCGATTTCACTGTAGGAAGAGAAAAGAAAGGAATTCTGGACTCTCTGCATACAAAACGCAGTACGATTGCTCAAAAAGGATAACAGCTTTTATTTCCTAAGCAATGCAGTAGGTCCCTTCCCACTTTTTCATTTTGAAGGACCTAATGATTCTCATTAATATGCTAAATGCGAAAGGACGCATATTCTACAAAGAATACAAGAGTATTGTTGAACAGTCGGATACAGCTATACCCCAAAATGTGTTTCCGCCGTCACTCTTCTATGAGTTGCCTTGTTATCTGGATGGAGATGATGTTTTCGTGCTTACAACGGATGTGGAAACCTATCTCCGGGACTACTACTTTATCAGGTCATTGTATGGGAGTGTAATCGAGTTTTGTAAGGAAAATACAACATATATTCTGAGAGAAGAACTACAGCAATTTATCGAATTCTTTACTCGCATCATTCCTATCGCTACGATTCTGACAGTGTTCTTTGGCTATATGGTGTGAAAACTAGTCTCAATTCCTTCACTTCTATCATATTCATGTGCTTCATAGCTTTTTCTTCTTCTTATCAACTGATCCAACTCGCATCAATGTCGATGAGCTGGTCAGTTCCCCCGAAATGAGGCAATTTGCCTCGCTAACATCGTCCTATCAAGAATACGTCAAACCCTGCGTGAGCTCTATGTCCTCTTCTGCATACTACAACGAAGGGCGATATGAAGACTCATGTATACTTCCAGAAAACTGGTTTTCTACAGAAACAGCCTTCATGATCTATTCCCAGGTAGTTCTTATGCCTTCTATCGATGCGCAGTTTGTTCAGTTAGACACCAATCGAGATGGATTAGTAAAAGCAGAGGATCTTCTTGAATTTAGTAGTCAACATTGAACATACTACATATTAGATGGTGGTGGTCTCACGATGGCCTTTGCAAAAGCAGTGGAAAAAGTCATCGGAAAGGGTCAAGGACTGAACTATGAGCGATTCCTGTTGTTTGCTTTATCACTGTATCACCTCGACACGAGTGCTGCTAAAAGAGTATGTTGCATAGACAGACAGACAGCTTTGTTTGTAGGTGTACTTTGATATACTCGATGGTCAAAAGAAAGGATACCTGGACAAGGATGCCCTCGATATATTTACAAAGGAAATTGCAGAGAAGTGTTCTACCAAAGAGAAAAAAGTCGAATACACCAACATAACTCAATTAGTATTCAATTCAATCCAGCCGAAGGATAGCACAAAGTAATGACACTAAGATAATAACATATATAGAATAGTTGTTGAAGACTTTATAGAAATGAGTCGAGCAGGTTTAGTATTGAATCTAATAACGAATTGTCGTGCCTTTGAAGAACTCATTCAAGATCCTAAACGCTCATAACGTTGTTTGTTACGCTAAAATATCAAATATGTCATGAAACCGCGGTAAAAAAACATGGTAATTCCAAAATACGAGCCGATTTCCGCCATTACATAGATTCGAGATAACACGCTTAATATAAAAATAAATGTCATCGGATATTGGTATCTACGGGTTGTCGACGCGAGCCATTAATTTGGCATTGAATTTTGCAGCAAAGGGACTGAGTGTGTCGATTGGACACCGCTCCTCGGATTTGGTACGTGGATTATTGTGTGTACAATTTTTAGATTAAGGAATGCACGCACCAAGCCGAGAAGAAGGATCTTGACGAGAAAATCACAGGAAAGAAAGATGTAGTTGATTGAATGGTAATTTCGAGGTCTAGGTAAATGGCTTTTGCGATTCGCTCAGTTCCCCAAAGAAGGTTATTTTGATGTCCAAGCCTGGAACCAGCGCAGAGAAAAATTACTCCAAAATCCTTGCCGCTCTGGAGGTACTTACGGTATTCCCCAAACTGAACTTGTAGGAAGGCGATCTTCTGATCGACGCTACAAGCGAGGGCTACGAAATCAACCTTCGTCGTGAGAAGGAAGCAGCCGAGAAGGGCGTGCGTTTCCTGACCATGGAGATTTTGGGCACGACCAAAGAGCTCCAGAAGGGATGCGGCTTCCTGCTCAGCGGCGAGCGCGAAGCGTACGACCTCGTCGAAGGTCCTCTGAAGAAGGCTGCGACGGAGGTGGAGTACGAGCCGTGCGTGGCGTACATCGGCAACTCTGTGAGTGCTGGATACGCGGGCATGGCGCTGTCGAGTCTGGGTCTGGGAATGGAGCAGCTGGTGGCGGAAGCGTACCACATGCTGCACGAAGCGGGCTTCACCAACGAGGAAGTGAGCAAGAGCATCAACGGGTGGAACAAGGACTCGCTGGCAAGCCCCTTCCTCGAAAACCTGCTGCACATCCTCAAGAAGAAAGACCAGGATGTGGAGGGCTGCGAAAAGGGCGAGGGATCGCTCCTCGACAAGGTTCTGGACTGTCCGCTGCCCCGTCCCGACCACTCCACGCTTCTCCGCGAGGGCTTCGAGCACCACGCGGCGATCGGCGCTCTGACCGCCGCCGTGCAGGAGATCGCGGTGAGCGCGAAGCGCGAGGAGCGAAGCAAAGGTGCGCTTGGGTTGGGAGGCTGATCGGTAGCGGCCACGCTGTGGAACGGCCCCGAATTCGACTGGCAGAAGCTGGACCACGTGCAGCTCATCGAGGATCTGCGCAACACGTTCGTGTGCGGCCAGCTGGTGCTCGCGACGCAGACGTTCGCGCTGCTGCGCCGCGCGTCGGAGGACTTCAGCTGGGCGATGAAGCTGGAGGAAGTGGGCCGCGTGGTGGCGGGCGCGGCGTCGTTCCGCTCGGGATTGCTGGTCGTGTAGGAGGAGAAGAAGAAGAAGAGAGAGGTGACGCATAGGCTGAAGGAGAGTGTGGAGAACGGAGATTTGAGCTTGCTGCAGAACGAGGCGGTGAGCGAAATCCTGCAGAAGAAACAGGCGTCGTGGAGACGCGTCGCGGCGCTGGCGGTGATCGGAGGCGTGTCCGCGCCGGTGGCGACGGCGAGCTTGGCGTACTATGATACGATGCGACGCGATAAATTGCCGCAGAACGTGGTGGTGGTAGGAGAGAACGAGGAGGGATGAGAGACAGGCGATGCGGGACTTTTTGGAGGCGAGCAGCTTCGAACGAACCGACTGCGCGCGCGGAATGACGTACCATTGCGAGTGGACCAAGGAGACGAACTAAATTAGAGGTGTGAAATGTGGAGTGTTTGTTTGAATGCCACTGTTTTCTAAGTCAGCACAATCCGATGCAGGACAACCGAAAACTCATCCCCTGCAAGTACTTTCTACAGGGGAGATGCAACAAAGGCGAGAATTGCCCGTACATGAAATTGGATAGTATTCACAACTAGATACAGTCACAATATAAATGAAGCGAAGCAAAACCAAGAAAAATGGCCTCACCATCCAGGCGGAGTCAAATATGGTTCATGGAGTTTCAAATTGCTGGGAGAAAACCTTGGAGTGGTCAAGCATATCCAGAAGGTTGGAAACGATGTGCTATTTTTGAGTATAGAAGAAGGAAACAAGATTGATGTAAGAATAGTAATTCTTTTCAACAATAGGTATGGAGTCGCGATTTTAAGCTCCAGTATAAGATTGAGACTCCTGAAGACCTCGATGCTATTTTAGTCCCCTCGGAGATGGATCCATCTGGAGTTTGTACGAAGGTTTCTAGTTAAGTTTAGAACTCGATATGTTTTGTCGCTACCCGCGCGCTGTCTGATACCACTCCTTCATACAAGTTATATTTATTGGACATACAATCCAGGGCTGCGTTACAAATTGCAGTATTTGTCTCTCTCCTCCTCTTTTCCTCATAGATGTTAGAAAGTCGAATAATCAGAATCGAATATTGTCCGAATGGGAGCTTTTTGTTTGTTGCCTGCGAGAATAACTCCGTTTACATTTATCAGAATCAACAGTTTGGTTTCCAGCTCCTAAAATCCTATTCTTGCGCGTTTTCTCCAAGCTTCCTTCTCAGCTGCGATTCAAAGTGTGAATCGAACTCGTCTCTTGACTAGACTCTTTCTTTCGGGTCCTACATCTTCGGTGATGTGCGCTCAGCTGACCAATGGCGATGTTTCGATGCTAAATCTCGACTCTCAACAGATCGCTGTTCATCGAATTCTACGCAAATGATGACTTAGGGTATCCACAGAATTCAGCTTGAAAACTCGGAAAAACTCATTGTGACGACGACAAGTGGAGGGTTCTACCGGTTTGACGCGCTGAGTTTGTCTCTAGAAAAGGAATATTCGCTGGTAACGTTGAGAAGAAGCTGCAAATTAGGGAAAAACAGTATCGATGAGCTGCGTGTATCGAAACAGGAAGAACTATTGGATGATTGCTTCGATTCTGCAGTCGGACGTAGTTTTGTATGTGTGTCTTGCAACGCGTAGGACACGATTGAAATGACGGCGATCGATGCAATGTCCTTTCAGACGAGAGGAGTTGAGAAAATGAAAGGGAAAGTCACAGCGATCGAGAGTGTGGGGAAAGTGGACTCGAGGGGAGATTATGTGGTTGTAGCCTATGAGAATGGGAAAGTATATAGTTATAACATGTCATAACGATGTTTTGAGAAACAAACAAGAGACATTTTACGCATCTCGGAGTTCGAGAACGTGAAAACCTTCTTCGGTTCGACTTGTCCGCTCAGAACGAGTTCTATTCTTTAGACAAGGAGGTAGTACTGAACCAGCTTGAATACGCATTGCATGAGCCACAACGGAGACAGGGATTGCACCGAAAGGAATGAGCTTTTCATTCCAACGCGCCATTTCACCACGATCCAAAACGCCAGGACGGAAGATGGACAGCGAGTCAAAGTTCAGTTCAGTAAGATCCTTTTCAATGAGACCCTTACAGTAGGGATAGGTGAAGTAGCTGCGGACATTCGCGTTCGCGGCACTACAGAGAGAGTAATGAGGCACATTTGCCGCTTTTGCCAATTTTGCTGCAGCAACATTGTATCCATGATCAATATGCATAAATTGTTCCTACATTTAAAGAAATATCCATCGATTACCGCTCCTCCAGCATCTTTGCGTGTGGACCCTAGACACGAAAAAACGCACATCTTGCCATTAAAGCAATCCTTTTCCTTTTCTAGATTTTCAAAATCCACAATCTATATCTTCTGTGACTCAAAACACATACTCTCTTTTCTAATCGGCCGCTCTCTGTCTCTTGTTTTATGTCTACTTCTGGAACGTCATAATCTCTTCTAAGAATGACGAATCACAAAGATGACAACCTAGTAATTGTAACAATCTTCCCCCATTTATCAGAACGTAGTAACTCGATCAGAAGCTGCCTTCCTACAGCACCCGTAGCTACAGATAATACGAGTTCTGAACATTCGACCTCCAAGCAGGACTGCACTGTATTTCGCTGCTATACAGTAAAAAAGTGAAACAGAAAGTACGGTTTTGCATAAATCGAATAGTATTTAAACAAACACTGTCAATCTTCTCTGCTGGTTCTACAAACAGGTAGTACAAGCGGCGTTCCATTCAAGAGACTAGAATTTGTGTAGAGTTTTGAAAAGTACGATTTCACATAGTAGTACACGTATTCTCCCATTAATACGATCTGGATGCATTGGGATAGCAGAATCGATACTCCTGCGTAGCGACTTCCAAGCCAGCGAGTGCCCGCGTTGAGTTCTCTCCAGCAACTTGCCCAGAAGAGCAGAGCGAAGAGTCTGGAGATCGCCAGGGAGAAAACAAAGTGTGAAGTTAGCCCCTCAATCTCTCCGTGCTGGGACTAACTCGATTCTTTGAATCCTACTCGAGACCTGCTGAATAGTGTGAGTTGTGGATAAACGGCAATCGCTTCGACATAGTGCGAAAAGCTCCACAACACGTCGATACTCTGCTTTTGGGACAATCCTGGATGGATTATCTAGGTGGTGGGACATGTCCAACGTGCGTACAATCGAGAGGCAAAGCAGCGAAAACAGAAGAAGCCCGATCGTGATACAGCTCTTCTTCCTGTTTTCTCCTGCAAACGAATCCTAGCTTTGAGAGATTCAGTGAGTGATTCACAATGAACGAGTAGTATGTGTATTTGTATCGGTAAGAGAAGTAAAGAAGAAAGGCGATTGCAATCACCTCGACTCCTTCTGTGCAACGATACACCCAATCTCCCGAACGGTCATAGGGAAGATAGGAATCGGAGAAAAGGATGGAGAAAAAACGAGACAGACTCACAACACCATAGAGGATCAGTGATTTGACTGATAGTCCTAGCAGTGAGTGCCACAATATCGCAAGCACCCTGAACAGATCGAGAGGATACGACCTTGTACAAACCCAGCAGAAAGCCGAATGACCCAACAATCGAACTCAGTGTCTAGAATTGAAAGGTCCAAAGGACAAGAACAAGCAAAAAAGAAAAATCCCTATCAGAGAGATAGTGGAAAGTCAACAGAACGAATATAGCAAACAATAACCAGACGGAAAGGTTCTTCCGATCAGGTGAAAGAGCGTTCTTTAGAGACGAAGATTGAAAGAAACGCAGAGGCAACTTGATAGAACTGCCTTCTAATACTGTTGTTCTTGGAGGGTACATAGAAAATGTAATGGTCGCTATTTACTATATCCTCGGGGATATTCTTACACACATTTGATCCCTTTCAACAAACAAATGCCAAACACAAAGCAAATACAAAAACGATCATTAGGACGATTGAATCAATGGAAGTTTATTTGAAATGCTCGTTGGGTCACAGCGAAGCGGTTCACTTCCTGATGGGAAGCTGGGAAGTTGCGGCTGCAGGGGCTTCCTCCCACTCTTCTTCTTCACTGTATGAATCATAATTATCATCATCGCCGTCTTCAATCGGACCGTTCTTTTCGTCCTCATAGCTGCTATATTCATAGTCTTCTCCACTGGGATCATTCGCTCCATTCGCTTCTACAAAAGCTTCTTCATCTTCATCATATTCGTCATCATCATCATAATAGTAATAGTCGTCGTATTCTTCATTCTTGTTCACTTCATTCACATTTGGAACCTGGAGAGGTTCGCTGGTTCCAGCAGGTTCTACAAAAGTCTTTTGATCTTTTTCTCTTCCTTCTTCTTCTTCTTCTTCATTATACTCATAATCATCATATTCATAATCGTCATAGTCTCCTTCTTCATCCTCTTTCTCCTTCTCTCCTTCTCGATTCTTGCCATTTGATTCATTCAATACATTGGACTGTGGGTATTCTTCATACGAATCTGAAGAGTAATAATATGATTCATCCGAGTCATATTCTTCATTCTCATTTGATTCTTCCGAGTCATATTCATCATATTCTTCACTCTCATCACTACACTCAACAAAACACAGCAAACCTACTCATTGCCCAAATTCTTATCCACTCCAACTATATTGGATCGTGAAAAACGAGAACGCATCAACAGCAGATACTTCTTATTCTCAGAGGCAATCGAAGCTAATCGATTCATAGTATTCACTAAGCCTTCATTCATAAAAACCAAAAGTACATCGCATCACCGCCACTTCTTCCTCTTCCATCAACATGTTCCAAGTACTCGCAAATGATTCATTTCTAAACAACTGGTTATTATCTTCTGCCTTAGCCAATGGGAATAACGCCAATATCGCTTTCACATCCCTACTATTCAAATACCATCCAAAACAAAGTACTTTCCCTGGTCCGTGAAATAGCTTGAAATTGACTTTTCCTTCACAGAATCAATCGTTGGACTTTTAAACACCCCAAAACTGCGAGAAATGCTCTGTTGAGCTATTCGCTGCAGAGAAACGGTATCCATGTTGTATATTCAAAATAGTAATGTGGAGAATCTTTCTCCTCGGTAAATAATAGTGTGAAATAGAATGAGTAAAGAAATATGTGGGTCTGATATAATGATAATATGGAAGGTAAACAGGTGCCTCAATAGCTCAGTCGGTAGAGCACTCGCTTAGTAAGCGAAAGGTCAGGAGTTCGATCCTCCTTTGAGGCTTTTTTCTTTTGTATTTTGGTGATCTATTTCATTCCATCTCATTCCATCTTTATTATTATTATTATCATCATCATGTTTTACTACTTACTACTCAGTGTCCTATCCTATTTTATCCTATCCTATCACTCAACTCTTTCATTCTTGTTTCCAACAAACACACAGACAACCATTTGATATCCCTGTTATATCACAAAACAAGTAGTTCTGTAAAACAGTTTTCCTACCATTTGTTTATCCCCCATATCCCTACTTTCCCTCACTGTATAGAATCAACCTACTCCTCGTCACTGCTCTCCCAACCATCATCTCCTTCCTGATTCAACATCTACTCCTCACCCCATCTCACCTTTCCTACATCCATGAATCCCTTCTTCTTATCCAAATCAAGATCCTTTTGATTGACCTCCACTTTCGGTTTCATCGACTCAGGCTTGGCTACCAGCGTCGCAGTCACGGTGAAATCCAGTCCCATGTACACAGGACACATGAAGTGCAAGTGGAACACGGTCTTTCCGGCCTTCTGCACCTGGAATCGAGCGATCACTCGCTCCGAGAACACGGAGGGATCAGCCAATGTGATAAAGTCATACGCGATTTTGTCTTCTGCGTCTGAGAGCAGCACGATCCAATGCTCGTGGATCTTGAACGGGAAGCTGCTATTCACTCCTCTCCGATACCCCTACTTCTTCGAATACACCACACCAGGCTCGATATGCAATCGCTTCACACGAGCCTCCATTTCATCCAATTCATCGATCGTCATTGCCACCTTCGGCTTCACTTCCTCCACTTCCTCCGTCTTCTCCGATTCCTCCTCGCTCTCTTCGCTCTCGTTCCATTTCGCCGTTCCAGCAGCCACGTCCTTGGCCGAAACATTCGCAGGAAGCAAGTTTTCATGAACGATCTTCACCGAGCAAGTCACGATGTCTCCCACGAAAATATCCTCCTCGTCTTCCACTTCGAAATGAGGCTACGCTTCACAATCCATCGACTCCCCTACCTCCACATAGAGAAGAGGCATCACATGCGCCACCTCCTTAATATCCTCCACTTGCTCATCAAGCAGTTGGCTGAGTCCCTTCCATTTCTTCGGATCCGCTCGCAAAAAGTCCACCAAGTCGTTCTGTCGGTTTCTCGATCGGTTCAAATTCGCTTCCTTCCGTTCACTTCATCTTTCAATCCTACCTGCACCGTGAAGTGAGGAAGCTGCAGCAAAGGCGACGAATTGATCCAGAGTCCCTGATACAAATGCTGCTCGAACTGAATAATATTCTTCATCAACTTCAGACTGCTCGGACGTCCTTTCTGACGCGAGTACATTCCGAGCTGCAGCATCACATTCAGCAGCTCAGGAGCCTTGGAAAGAATGACACGCTGCTCCTCGCGATGCTGCGGAATCACCTCCAGATTGTTCAGATAGGCATGCACCAAGATATTCACCTTCAGCCACGAAAACGCCTTCGCGTCTTTATTCGCGTCTTCCAGCGACACGTGCGGTTTAAACATCATTCGAGAGCCAACGACCGTTTTCGGACACATAATGTACAGATAGTGCAGTAATTCTTTGTCGTAGGGACGCTGCGGCATTAGCTGCAGCAACTCCTCTGCGTGAGCGAACACTTCAGGAATGCATCTAGAACATCAGGAAGGAAGCGAGATCCCACTGAATGGGAGTTGATTCTTGAATTCCAGAGTAATAATTCTGAACCGTTTCCTGGTTCACCTTAGGTTTTTCTTCCTTGTTTGTGTTCTTTTTGCTAGACTCAAAGCGATGAACAAAACACCTACATGCAGTACACAATACCTGGAATCACAACGATCATTAACAGCAAATAGCCGATAATCACCAACTTGCTACCAGTTTTCTCCATCATCCAAGAGGGAAGGGCGATTCCCACTTTCACTGCGCTTGGACCATCCGGATTACCGTAACGCTCATAGTTAGAACGGGCAATCTCATCAGTAAGAATTCGATAGGCTTTCTCAATATCGCGGAACTTGTCGACACTTCCAGTACGCTTATCAGGGTGGTATCTATTTGACAAGTACAAATACCGACTACATCTTTGCCATCTTTCGATATGCAGACTTAATAGCGCGTTCACTTGCCCCAATAGAAATTCCTAGAGTAGCATAAGGGTCAAACAAAGAAGGTTCTTCAATCTCAGACTTCTGAAGGAGTTTCGAAATAATAACAAGTGAAATAACCACCAAAACAACATTCACCCAGAATGCAGTCGTGAGCGGGCTCTCAACAACCACTTCCTCCACTTCGACCAATTGCGCCTTCTTCTTTGATGCTACCTATTTAATTATCAAAATATCGAAAAAATACCGGAGGTTCTTTGGAAAAAAATCGTCTCAATCGCTTGAAAATGAACACAGAAGCGATAAGCAGATAAATGCTCAGAAACGATATCACAAATATAGAGAACGCATCCGTATCGTACTCTTCTTCCATTTTACGTTGGTGTTAATAGTTTTTAGGGAAATGAAATGGCAAAATTCTGGGGAAATTCCGTTCTCTTAAACAAACAAAAGAATCAATTGGATACATTTCCGGATGAAGGAAAGGAATCAACGCAAGTATCAACGCATGCTCATAATACTCGCGGCGTGTCACTATCTCGTCTGTCAGAATTCCAACAGTACTATGATGTGAGAAGAATCTCATTGCTACCCGGAATGCTGGCCCGAATTTACTCTCTACTGCTTAGTCACAATTAGAAAACCTTACTCCAAAGTAACGATCATCAGCAACACCCAATTCGACGCCACCTACAATACTGACAACAAATATTGATGCAAACTTTTTACCAAACGGACAATCTCTCGGGGAATGTAGAAAGAACCAGTTCTTCCAAATCCTAAATATCAATATGGTGCAATTATACATTACCCCAACGATTGGTTTCGGGGCAGTAAATGGCCATCCAGGCAAACAACATCAAACTGTCCTCAAAGTCTTTGTCATTGAGGGGAATCGCATCGTTTTTTACTCCTCCCTACAATAAAGAAAAAAACCGAAGAAAAACTTCCAATCCAATAACAAAGGAAGGTAAATTGTCGTGATCTTCCTTCCACTTCCGTAGTGCATCATTAACACGATTAATGGATCCTACAGATCACCATCAAACGAAGAATGCCACCCTTTCTTGTTTCTTCTTCACTAAATGGCTGATCACTAACACCACTATCTGAAGAGCACGGTACAAACTCAAATGTCTCGTTTGGGAAAACCTAGTCAATTACCACCTGCGATCGCTTTCTTACACGCTCAAACGCCTTCTTGCATGCTTCTACCTTGCATGGGTTCTTCGATGCTACGACCACTTGCTTCATCTCACTATTTTGTTAGCTACTACTCCTCTTTTTATTAGTATGAATGTAATTGTTCTGACAACAAACAATGCATACAAACACAAGTACACCCAGCGAGCCTCTCCATCCTTATAAGAAGTAATCTGGCGGCAAGTTCTTTGAAGGCTCCTTCCGCTCGCTCTGCGGCGCAGCGTCGAACGTTTTGAAAGTGCTCTGCAGATACTCGTCGACCTCCATGATGGACGCAATGTTTCCGCAGCGATAGCAATAGTTGGGCGCGGACCACACCGCCACGAGCTGGTTGTTGAACATCCACTTGAATCCCTCCATCACCAGCTGATGCGATCGGCACAGCAGATTCAGGTTGTTTTCCGCGTTGAACTACTCCTTTCCTCCCCCCACGCCACGCCTACCTTGCTCACCACGTCGCTTCCGAAGATGTATCCGCATCCGCGCGAGCTCACGCGCCATCCAGACACATCTTCTTCCGGGTCCGACCACAGCAGATCGCAGATCCCTCCCTCCAGGGGCACTTCCTGCACGCGGTTGATCGAGCGGGCCTATCCATCACATCGAACACACTCGCATACCGCGTCCAGAGTCGTGATCGAGGGAGAAAGACCGCCATGCACACAGAAAATGCGATCATCGATCAACGCGCCAAGGTTCAGACAATCGAATACGTCCACACACTGCTTCCATACATTCACAGTACCATACTTCCGCATACACTCGTCGTAAAAACTGTACACTTGGGTTATCTGACGACTTTCATGATTGCCACGAAGAAGAGTCACACGGTCTGGATAACGCACTTTTAGAGCCAGAAGCAACAAAAACGTCTCGATACTATAATAGCCTCGATCAACGTAATCACCCATAAACAGGTAATTCGTATCAGGAATGTCGCCTCCAATAAAGAACAATTCGCGCAGATCATAAAACTGGCCATGAATATCTCCGCAGACCTTCAAACAACCTACTCACTCACCACCTACGGTAATTGGTGTATGGACCTCACGGATATTTCCTTCGCTTAATAAGATTTCTTTTGCTTTCGCACAAAGCTCCTCCACCTCTTTCTCGCTAATCAGCTCGCAGCGGCGTAACTAGCATGTCAGAAAATTCAAGACAACAAGAATTTACCTTCTCTATTTGACTTTCTAAACTGCTCTCGAAAGACATCACCCTTACAAAATATTGAATTCAAATTGCTGGAATTAGTTCAACTCTTTGAGTCAAGGGTTGATATTCTTTTATCAAGAATTTCAATCTGAATAAGTGAGACTGAGAGAATCACGGGAATTCGCAGAATTGAAGGATTGAAATGCTGGGTTTTTGGAAGCAAATTCCAAATCCATTCGACCTGGTTCTCATGCCAATCGCACTAGTTTGTTATCCCATTTTCATGGCGAGGAATGGGATGATTGGAAGAAAGGAATTGTGTCTCAGTTTTCACTGTTCACTCTACATATATGCGCTTACTTATCACTGCTCCGTTCGTTAATTACCATTTGCATAGGATGAGTGGTTTAAACAGTACGTGTATCACTCATCACTTAAATATACTCGATAAATGTAAAATTCATAATGTCCAAAACTCATAATTCCACTCTACTCTTCCTTAAACTATCTATTCCTTGCTTTCCAAACGCATTCTCCATTCTCGGAATTCCATAATTTGGCTGCTTTTCTATTCAATTCTTTCTTCTTCATAAACTACAAAGATGTACGTTATTTGAATATTGTTCTGTGATTCTTTAGGAGCAATAAAGCTATTCACGAAGTAAGAAGAAACGAATTTGAGCCTTATGACATGAATGGTGGGTAAGAAGGTTTTGCTAGTGGATAATCGTACAGTACGGTAGCAGCAATCGCTGGGAAAGATTATGTAATAATTGCAGCTGATACTCGTCTAACACAAGGATATGAGATACTGAGTCGAAATGTGTCTCGTTTGCATCCCCTCACAAGTGTGTGTGTATTGGGAAATGCTGGGTGCTGGACAGATATGACAACCTTACTTCGAACTCTGGAATACGATATTAAAGAGTTGCTAATAGAATTGTGTTTAATAATCAGATACAAATATAATCATCGCGAAGAAATATCAACAAGCGCCGTAGCTGCTCTTCTGAGCAACACGCTATACAATCGCCGTTTTTTCCCGATCTATGCGTTCAACGTTCTTTGTGGATTGGATGAAAACGGTATTCACTCTGGTTGAACTCAAGAGTAGGTCAAGGGGTTATTTACAGCTACGACGCTATCGGTTCGTTCGAGTTAATGAAGTACGCAGTTCAGGGCTCTGCACAAAGCCACATCATTCCCATTCTTGACAGCTGTGTAGCAAAGAAGAACCGAAACGAGCCCTACGTGGACTTGGATCGCGAGGAAGCCCTGAATCTGATGAAGGAAGTGTTTACTGCGGGAACGGAGGTATTGTGCTTTTGGACTGTGTGAGAGATAGAGAGAAAAGGACACAGGCGATCAGTTGGAGATTCTGACGGTAACCGCTCACGGGATCGAGAGAGAAGTAATGGAATTAAGGAAAGATTTCTGTGTTTGTTTGAACTGGAGTTGGCAGATTTCTAAAGTCATGCAAATTCACCAGGTTCTTTTCTTGGTGATCTTCACCATCCTCTCTGCTCTCTGGGTTTATCAGTTCAAGCTGTTCATTTATGGACAAGTGGAGGAGAAAGCGCTGGAAACGATCAAAAGATGGGCAGCGCCTCCAGAAAGAGTGGAAGGTGTGTTTGTGTATAGGATTCTGGAAAGTGGTGAGCGTTTAGCAAACATGACGTTCCTGTTGTTTTTTACTCTACGAAGGGGTTTGACACGAAGAAAGAAGTGCTATTTTCCGTCCCGAGTACAGAGACGCCCCATGAAGACGTTGTTCCAGATATAGCGAAATCTCGGTTTGCAAATTGGGCCTATGACTACGCCTTTGACGAGAAAGTGCATGAACCGGTGGAGTTTGTGTATAATGAAACAGGGGAGTTGTGGGAGGATAAAATGGGGATTGACTTTCTGAAGGAAGATTGGTACGACGATATTTCTGAGATCCAAAGTCGAATCTACGCGAATGCCTCCAAGTTTGTTCCGGGAGTGTAAATAAGGCCTAGGACGCTGGAAAGTGAGTTGGAGAAGTTTTGGAAGGAGTATTTCGATGTTGGCGAGGACTGAAAGGTAGGTCGAACGGGTACAGTCGATTTATGGATACAAAGAACTATGTATTTGTGTCGAACGCGTGTGTCAACGTCCGCAACGGTCAGGTGACGTTGTACATGAAGTCAGAGAAGCAAATCACGGACCTTCTAACGAAATACAAGTGGAAAGACTTTTATTGTACGGGTTTTGGTTGGTCTGCATCCTAGTCAATGCATACAAACTGGTTCAGCAGACCATTCCCCACAAGCAATTCCCCTCCACACCGCTGGGTTTGCTGGTGGCTCATCCTCGCTCTGTCTGGAACGCTTACCAGTTTCTGGAGGGCACTTCCTATCTCGCTTCTATCGCCCTCCACCCAGAGCAATTCCCTGCCGTACTCCTTCCTCCCTCTGTGTGTCTCTAGTTCAAGCGCCTGCTGGTTGTGGCGAATCAGCGCGAAAAAGTGCCTACGGCGTGGAATCGGCAAGTGCTGGACATTTTGCTCCGCATGTTTCCGTCGCATTATCGACCCACACTGCTGCATCCTTACACCGATCCGGAGCTCAGTGCGAATCACAACCTGCTCTGCGATCGAATCATCGTCAGAATGCGTCGAATGAATCATGGATAGACGTTTATTCGGAACTGGGAGCCCAAAGGAAGCGGCTCGTTCATCGGAACGGAACTGTCCGCCGATTTCTTCCGCGCCTCTGCGTACGTTTATGCGAACTATTTCCCTCCCACTTCACGAATCAGCAAGCTTAAGCTGACTTTGGTTCGGCGACCGACGATTCGGTTGATCGAGAACCACGACAAGTTCGTTCAGCGAATCAATCAGAAGCTGCTGGACTATGTAGGCGGATTGGAGTGCATGGGATGTAGTACACGTACGACGATATTGTGCTGGAAGAGCTACCGGTCGATCAGCGAATCAAGCAAATGATCGGAACGGATGTGCTGTTCGCGGTTCACGGAACGGGCGTGGCGAACATGCTTTTCATGACAAGACACAGCTATTTCATTGAAGCGTATCCACCTCACTGGTATTGGTCGTGCTATCAGCGATTCGCGAGGGCGATTGGAGTGAAGGGCGTGGTATTCAAGTCCAGAGGAGAGAGAGGTCCGGAGTGTAAGGATGCAGAGGATAAAAGTGCGGAATGCCAGTATAAAGGAATCCGAGATCGGAACTTTAATATGAGTGTGAATGACGGAATAAAATACTTGTGGGAAGCTCGATTGTATGTAATTGAGAACAAATATCATCGTGATCCTGTAACTATAGAAAAGGCGTGGATTGTTTGTTATGAATGAAATGGTAGAGAAAGGAGTGGCGATTTGAATGATAGAAAAGAGCTTGAATTTGGGTAAAGGGTGTAGATAGGAAAGAAAAGATTCGAGAGATGATAGAATGGAATCAACGAGTACAATCTTGGATCTGAGAGTATCAAACTGGGAAATGGAAATAATACATATATATAATACAATTCAGTAATGTGGGAGTTGTATCACATGGAAATACGATGAAGTACTACCTGATATGAGCAAGATCAACGAGGATGAGAGAAACATCCGAGAATGAATAGAAATCAATCTAACAATACTATTCAGAGAAATTTCAATCGAACTTCTTGAACAGACATGGCAAAATAACACTTAAAGTATTTGAAGATATAAACACGCGCTATATAGTACTACTTTCCAATGTCACTGAACGACAAGAATGGGTAATGTATCTTTATTTTTTGAATCATTCGTTTTTAGCATTGGAAGATCAGCATACAATCATTTCAAATCATAATAATCTTCTTCTTCTTCTTATTATTATTATTATTAGGCACACATGATGAACTTGAGCCATCTTTATTTTGTCCACAAAATACTGCAAGACCGAGTTGAATGGATTGTAATGATGGAAGATTTAGAATATTATTTCATTCATATTCATTCAATACTTTTGAAAATAGTTGACGAGGAAGCAGCAAACACATAATTACCACATGTAATGGATCACGGATTTGAAAGATCTAATTATTATGTATTCTGTATCATATCAATACTTCTGATCACAAAAGATATAGAATAGACATCGAACGAAGCACTTTCGATTGTACCAATGTGAATGGATTTCAATGATTAAGTATTCAGTGTGTGGAATGATTTCGATTTATCATTTCTAAATCAATTCTTTTTCTGAGTGAACGAATTACTATTGATATTGATAGTTTTCAATTGATTCACTACATGAAATAGATGATACTTCATTCTTTAGTATTATCACAGTCCAATACAATTATTATATCAATTCAGTGTTATTATGATCAGCATTTGGCATTCTTTGAACATTGATCATTTACAATTGTCTCTTGGATTCATCCTATTTCAAACCATTCTGTTCAATACGAATATAAGTATATTTTGAAAAATTATGGTAATATAGATTATATATTACCATTTTGGATGATATGTTCACTTATTATTATAATGAATATTATTTTGACCATGTATTAGGAATTCCATTTGTACCTCATTTTCATCCATGGTAATATATATTCCATACTTTATCTTCATGCCCCTGAATCTATAACTATAAAGTAAAGATTAGTATTTTGATTTTATTATTCCTTGAATAATATAGTTTCAGGGATTTTTCTTACTTATATTAAGTAAGGTATTTATTTATCTGTTGTAGTTCTGCCACTCTACATTCATTCTTTACCCCTGTTCCAACAGAAAATCAAATGATATCACCAGACGTTCGAGCTGAGGTATTTTCACTTTCCCATAAGCCTCTTTTTTGTAGTTTTGATTATGTTGAAAAGGGCTATATTCAAGTCAACAAATATACTATCTTATCCACTGTTTCTTTAAACGATATTCTTTATTTTCAAAAAACAAATCCGGGTGATTGATCTATTTTTATCCATTCCTTGTTTCAAAATTGGGTTTTCTTTTTCCATTCATATCTCAATCGAGAGTTTTTAAAACAGCTCTAAATTTATATACATTTATCAAGTATCCATTTATGTAGCCGCCTCCATTTTCTTATTGGAGGTCAGCTATTTCAAATGAATAGTAGAGAATACATGTATAAAATAGCATAGCGTAAAACTTTTATAGTGCCTAAATTAAAAAGCAATGTGTTATATCATGTTGTAGAAACAGAGTTTGTGGTACGACTGAGTCCATTACACGATAAAAAAACATATGCATTGAATAAAAGTACTTCTTCGTGTATACTCAATTCATGAATCACAAAAGAAGTGCATTGATAAATCGAAGATTTAGTTATAGACATATTAGTAATAAGGAACAAACAAATTAAGCACAATACACAACTAAAATAAACTAATTAAAGATGGAAAAACTTGGACAAAGGATAAGAAACATCTATTACACAACTAGAAAATGAGATGTACTAACTATGGACTTTGTCGTCACATGTGTAAATGGATCTGACCAGCCACACTTCAATTCTACTGTTTTCAGGTTTGGTACGTCTATATTCAAATAGAATGTGATTCATATACTGTGGATCACAGCCTGCCTGGGGTAATCAAAACTGTATCCTTTAGAACCTAAATAAATTAATCCATAGAGATCTACAAGGAATCAACAAAAAATGATTCTCACTCATCATTGATAATGAACAAGAATCACTTTCCGTTCCACGTAATGAATACTTACCCAAAGAGATTGATTCCAACTTCGGATTATCTACTCTAATAAAATAGCAAATACCATTACTTGATATTTCTGTTGATAGCGAAGCGGCAAATGTGTTGTATCCAAGTTCAATTGTTATCAAATTTGGTAAATCTAGAATATCATTATGTTCAATTTAGTATTTTACCGTGAACTGAGAATGATGAAAAATAGAAATTTGATGAAGTTTTACCAATTATACCGATTTTCAATGATTTCAATGATGGAATGTTTGTCAATTCAAATTTACCAGAATAATCACTGAAACTATATTGATTGATTTCAATGGATTCCAATTTGTCACAATTCGATATTTTGAATGATCGAGAATCATCTTTACCATAACTATTCTTGTGTTTTGTAAATGAATTGCTTCCTATTCGTATAGTCTTCAATTGAATTATGTTATCGATTAGTAATGAATTTGTATGATACATGTTTTCATTACCTATTTCTATCGATTGAAGAAGTTTGAATGCACTCAAATCAAATATCGTTAAGGATTCAGAATTGCATGCTTCTTTTGGAATCGATAATAGTGGTGATGACATTGACAATTTCGATAAATAGGAACATGAAGAAAACCCAGAAGGTATTGTTCGACATTCAATCATCGAAGATAATGAAGAATGAACATCTAGTCATCGAAATCGATTCAATATTCATTACTCGATATAGATAATGATGATTTCATTACATATTTCAATGCATCTGGTAGTTTCACAGTTTTACATTTAGGAATATCTAGATATTATTAGTATCATTTTAAATGAATATATATACTTTGTAATGTAACACGACGAGGAGACCATAAAGAATACTTATCTGATATAATTGATTCTAATAGAGGAAGATCTATACAAGTATTATCATCATTTATATTATCAATTAATACTTTTCATTATTAAGGAACATGAATCAAATCCCCAATTACCAAATATCGAATAATATCCTAATTGTATAGATAACAGTTTCGGAAGATCTATTGATCAATTATGTGATTATTATCAATAATACTCTCAATATCAACTAAATTGGACCATCCAAATGTATAATCTCCAAGTTCAATTGTTATCAAATTTGGTAAATCTAGAATATCATTGTGTTCAATTTAGTATTTTACCGTGAACTGAGAATGATGAAAAATAGAAATTTGATGAAGTTTTACCAATTATACCGATTCTCAATGATTTCAATGATGGAATGTTTGTCAATTCAAATTTACCAGAATAATCACTGAAACTATATTGATCGATTTCAATGGATTCCAATTTGTCACAATTTGATATCTTGAATGATCGAGAATCATCTTTACCATAACTATTCTTGTGTTTTGTAAATGAATTGCTTCCTATCTTTATACTTGATAATAATTTCAATTTATCAATATTGAATGTATCTATTGTGCTAAAACAACTATTACCTATTTCATATGATAGCAGTGAATTCAATTGTTTTACATTATATGATTTAGCGTCAGCAAACGAATTATCTCCAATTGTTAATGATGATAATTTCGGTAAATCTAAAGTATTATTAATGATAGATAGAATAATGATACCTTGAATCGTTAGTGAACCATAATAGAAATTTGATGAAGTTTTACCAATTATACCGATTCTTAATGATTTCAATGATGGAATGTTTGTCAATTCAAATTTACCAGAATAATCACTGAAACTATATTGATCGATTTCAATGGATTCCAATTTGTCACAATTTGATATCTTGAATGATCGAGAATCATCTTTACCATAACTATTCTTGTGTTTTGTAAATGAATTGCTTCCTATTCGTATAGTCTTCAATTGAATCATGTTATCGATTAGTAATGAATTCGTATGATACATGTTTTCATTACCTATTTCTATCGATTGAAGAAGTTTGAATGCACTCAAATCAAGTATCGTTAAGGATTCAGAATTGCATGCTTCTTTTGGAATCGATAATAGTGGTGATGACATTGACAATTTCGATAAATAGGAACATGAAGAAAACCCAGAAGGTATTGTTCGACATTCAATCATCGAAGATAATGAAGAATGAACATCTAGTCATCGAAATCGATTCAATATTCATTACTCGATATAGATAATGATGATTTCATTACATATTTCAATGCATCTGGTAGTTTCACAGTTTTACATTTAGGAATATCTAGACATTATTAGTATCATTTTAAATGAATATATATACTGTATAATGTAACACGACGAGGAGACCATAAAGAATACTTATCTGATATAATTGATTCTAATAGAGGAAGATCTATACATGTATTATCATCATTTATATTATCAATTAATACTTTTCATTATTAAGGAACATGAATCAAATCCCCAATTACCAAATATCGAATAATATCCTAATTGTATAGATAACAGTTTCGGAAGATCTATTGATCAATTATGTGATTATTATCAATAATACTCTCAATATCAACTAAATTGGACCATCCAAATGTATAATCTCCAAGTTCAATTGTTATCAAATTTGGTAAGTCTAGAATATCATTAATGATAGATAGAATAATGATACCTTGAATCGTTAGTGAACCATAATAGAAATTTGATGAAGTTTTACCAATTATACCGATTCTCAATGATTTC